ATATATTCCTATTTATAAAAACAGGAAAATCCAAAATATGACTATGTGCAGCATTTGTTTAAAACAAGTTTTATAAGCGGTTTATTATCAGCTGGCGCATTTTCAAGTCAAGTCTTCAAAGGTTCAAGTGCACTTAAACGCCGCTTATAAACTTAAACTCAACATCGATGCGATAAAAGTAAATATTTATTACTTATAAACGACAATAGTTATTGGATATTTTGCTGGCAAATAAATGGGTTGCAACATAGCACTTACAACCCAGTAACGGACGATCTATCCTCATATTGTGTAAACAATAATGCCGCAATCCATATGGCAGCTGTTTTGGCTGGCGGCCAGGACGAAAACTAGGATAATTTACACGGATCGTTCGTTTAATCAGGGAATATTAAAAATCCTTCGTTATTTGAAACTGGGCATAATGCTGCTATCATTTGGGAATATTTAGAACTGTAAAGAAGTAAATGAGAACGTAAATTTATCTCACGGTTATAAGGATGACAACAACATAAAACAACCAAACAAAACGCTGGAAATATACAATGTACTTACAACTGTACATTGTAGATAAATGATCCATGTAATTTCCCTTTTATAATTATGTATTTTTCCATAATTTTACCAAACAAGTTATATTTCATTAAGTCGAGACAATGTGCCGTTGAATATGAAAAAATGTCCAGGTCGTAAAGACTTTTATTGCGATTTGAATTGCGTGTCATTATCGATCCATCGATGATTTTTCAAATCGGATTCGCGGTTGGATATTAGAGTCAACTAAATATTATCTTTATTAAATTCCTCATTCGCTTTATGATCACACCATCAAAATTTTCCTAATTTATTGTTCCAATTCTAACAACCTACGGGCATGTTTTGCATTTGCATTTGCAAGGTTAAAACTTGCAAATCGGTTCCTGAAAGTGAAAACAAACTTTTCAAAGTTTGAGCTGAAATTATAAGCAGTAGGTACAATGATGTAGACTCTACATTGTAGAGCACATATCTTTGATACAAACTTTCGGTTTGTATCTTCAATATACAGTGTACATATTTCCTTACAATTCTGTTTTATCAATTGCACTAAGCAGTTTAATTAATCACCACTTCAATAAAATAACTAAAGTATATTTGCACAATATTACTACTCAGCTGTGAGAAAGATCGCCAATAAAATCGCCTATGAGCAAAGCATAAATATAGTGGAGAAAATGAAGTCAAAATAAATTAAAGTAAGTGCTTAAATGTATTTACTAAAAGTGATAAGACTGAATGCCTGGTGATGAAATTAGTTCAATTACTGATATCTAGCTAATATACATTTTTGACAACTTCATGATGTTTTCCCGAATGTCTCTATGAGCAAACAAATAATGATGCCCTCAACAAATTATTACTTCCGCCAAGCGATTTTTTTAATTACGTTTTTTGCGTCAAAGTTCTAATTTTGTTAGGTCAAGAAGAGGCTGCTATATTTCGAAGTTACTATAGTATATTTTAATGACTGAAATAGTGTTGGAGATGCTAAAATATACATTTGATTTTCAACTTTAAACGGAAGTTAATAATAATATGCAATAATTAAATAATTAGTGGATAAAAAACCAAAAAATCACTATTGCTCAATAAAACATAATGTTTATTCAGTTAATGCCCCTTTGTATATGGGGGGCATTTTTAAATTTATTTGTTAATAAAAAAATTCCTATTGTTCATCAGTACCTTAATGCGTTAAGATACTGAATGTACGATTTTTAAATTAAAAATKTTAACAAAATATTAAGAAATGAAAACCTGCAAGCAATGTCAATAATTTATAAAAGTGATTAAATCCAGATATTTGTTATTAACCATCAAAGAGGCATTTAACTGTATTTTTCTTGATCTCTACTTTTTATTATATTCCACTAAGTATATGATATTCCTGTTCTACATTTAGAAATTGAAAAAAACGACAAAAATACAGTACACTGCACTACTATAGTTTTTAGTTAYYATGTACCTAYATGCATTTTTTATTTAATTTTTGAAGATCATTTAGAGGAAATAYGTTTCTTTTATTTTACGCAATAACATACGTAACGTTGAAATTGTGGTACGCGGGCTTTCAAGGCTCAACAATATATCGAAAAAACTCGATCAACTTAAAATTATAAAGTGAAAATAAAGTGTCACTTTACTACTAAACGTTTCCAGTAATCTATGAAAAATGTTGGAGTAATCAACAAAAAACTGACAATATTTCTGTTAAATGTGTGGGACGAGCAGTTCTAGTAAAATTCTAAACGTAATCTTAACGAATTTACATGTAACATATATTTAATGTAACATATAAGAAATATTTTAACCGATAAAATCATAATAAATCAAATCTTGTGTACCTTGAAGTTGGTTAATTGCCTAAGCTCCCATCAAGAAAATTAATCTTTTACGCTAAAATAATGTTTTGTTTGTTATTTCCGTGTTCAGCTTTCGTAGCATTCGATTACAGTAAAAGAAATAAAAATTCGCTTGACATAACCATATTCGGTTAGGAGAAAAACTCAATTTGCTTACAAAGAAATAAGGCCATATAACAATCGGCTAATAAACGATAAAGTTGAAAACGTAATTTCGAAACAGTTGCTGCAATAATTTTAATGATTTAAAAACCGAACCGAAACATACCAAGGCCCAGTTAGAAACCACATGGAAACATTTGCAAGAATTATTAATTATTTGTGGTTGTAGCCAGATTTTTAATACAACGAAATAAGCATCTATGGCGTAATATTGTTACCTATACAATTTATCTATTGTTTTTCAATTTCTTCTATTAACACTATAACATTTGGATAAACCCAAGCTCTACTGAAGTAGTTTCATTAAAAAAATTGAATTAGTCTCAGAATGAATCATTTCGTACATATTCACTTATCAACTGTGGTGTCCCCGATCTTTTTCCATTGAAACTTTAACGACGACAGGAGCTTTTCTACTTTTAATGCGTATTTATTTGTCAGGTCGCTTGCATTTTGTGTTACTTTGAAAATATTGATCAGACCTAGAAAACGGATAACAAAGCAGTAACATCTCTTTAAATCGGAAAAGGCGGAAATGTCAACACCATTGTTTAGATCGAGGCCAGCAAAGGTCGACACGCTAGGGCGAATATCACAATGAAAAATGTTATTTCGCATTATGTTGATCCACTTGATGCTTTAAAAATGCGTATGATCTGCTGTGATTATTATAGACAATAAATAATGCGGATTTAAACAAACACCTTGACTCGAATCGGAAGCGCAAACGTTTGCTTGCATGAAAAGTTAGTATGCTAAATATATTTTTTTCAAAGTAATTTAATAAACGCTAATATGCCGAGAAATATTGGAGCCACTAAAAACTCCGAACGATGATAATGAATGAATGAATATGAATTGGATGTTGGCTTTGCTCTTAGATAAAGAGGACGCTTCTACATGTATTTCTTTTATTAGAAAAGTCATACCTTTTTCGTGCATGCTTGTATCAAATTTTTTAGCATTAATATCAAAAGCAAAATTTTAGCAAAAGTCGCCACAAACAAATGTTTTCAAGATATTCTAATTTAAAGTGTGTATGTGGTTTTCAACTATTTTTTTCTAAAACAGTGGACACAAAATAAACGCTTATAGTAAGTGACTATATTATCATACAAAATTTAAAATTTATTTATTCGTTTTTATTGCCATAGAGCAATTTTTCAGACGGTTACTTCTTCGAGAATCAACTTCAATATTTCTGCAATCTTTTTTCTCTTTGTGTCAACTGTTTTGCTTCTAAGAATAAGTGCTTGAAATGCAAGCCTTTCAAAGAATTTATTAGGAATACATACAAAGGACAAGAAAAATTGAACGACTGCCGCAAATCCAGTTAAAATGAGAAGACAATTCTCACAACTAGGCAACCCGTATTCCCATTTTATTTCTCGACTTTTGTAGTAAGAGTTCTTTAGGACGTGGAAAATTACAATAAAAGTTAATAAAGTATAATTTCCTGCAATGTAAATATTCAGTTAGCCATAAGTTTACTAAATGATGTGGGCTGAGCGATTTTCGATGATCTTTTTCCGCAGAAATAAATATTGTTTATATACAGAGTGTTCCGCAACCACATGATCAAAAAGGTACTGCTTTATTTCGACACTGGAATCAACTCGTTTTTCTTTGACTCTTCTTTGCTCTAATCCGTTTTTGATAATTTTGGGTTCTTTGTAAAATCTTTCAGCATTGATAGTTGTCGCCCATAAAGATATTTCTCTTTTCTGTCTAAATTGAGACTAACGCTCAGAAATGTTAAATTGTTTCTACAACTATCCAACTTGAAACTAAGGTGACTAGAGCAAAGCGAAAGTAACGCGAACTAATTTTTCACATCATCAATTTTCAATTCAATTAACGACCTGTAAACAAACATTTAAAAAAATTTAAAGTTCGAAAATAAATGTCACATTCTACTAATTTCCAAAAAATGAATCTTCTTAAAAAATCAACATACTGTAAACAATACGATGTGGAAAATATGTTACTCCAATGAAAATGAACTGAACAACTGAAATATTTTGTTTCGTAATAAAATTGCGCATAGGAAAAGGAACTGTGCATATCCAATAAAATGTTGATGTTCAATATAGAAATTGCGATATGCCTCACTTCTATGTACGGCCACTTATGACGATTGAGAGACGATGAGAATTTAAGTATTATTAGTAAGTCAGTAAGATTGTTCTATAATCTATTTATTTTGATCTATCCATAAAATTAAATAAATTAAATTATTTTAATAAGGATTCAATGTTTCAATGTTCCACTCTGAAGAAGCAACTTAAAAAATGGAACAGTTTCTGTGACGATGTTACTGTTCAACGTTTAACACCAAAAATTACTCACCTTCCATTAAGATATCCTTTGGAGCAAAAACGTTTATGAACAAACGAGTCAACTTATACAATCCTGCCATCCCTCCTGCATTGAACTCCGTACTACTGTAGTACGTTGCATCGTTAACAAAGTCCGTATAAGCGACATTGAAGTCCAATAAACCAACAGCTTGTTTCAGATTTTTGGTAATTTCATTGATTTTTGATACAAATGAATCTGAAACAGAATAGATAAAGTCGTGAATATGCTAATATTATTGTATTTGTTAAATAATGGCTGGCAGGCATTTGAACTCAATCACTAATGGTAAAAAAGCTAGTCATTGCAAAAGGTTCTCATTACATAGCCGTATCTAAAGCGTGACAAATCTGTGAGAGCTGATCGACTAATGAAAGAATATTGTTCCTATATCAGTATAAGTGTTTCAATTTGCATTAAAACTGGGCTGGAAGAAAAACAATTGAACGAAATGTGAAATGAGGGTTACACTCGTAAAATGACGAATGGTGCAGTCTCTCTTCATCTAGCAATTACACGTCTGTCCTTACACCCAACAAATGAGTTAAAGAAAGAAGTTAAACTTTGCAAATATTTTTCTGATTCTGGTTTTTTATTGTTACAATCTTGCAGTGTTTTACGCCTTGGTCCGTTCGCACTTCTTTTTTTGCTTAATCCAGATTTCCCAGATTTGGGATTGATCTTACAGAACTTCACATTCTTTAATAGTTAGTTAATAATTTGCAATGCTTTCTCAATTTATGTTGTTGTCTACTATCTACAGGACGGTAATTTCCTGGCTCCATTATTAACACAAAACTTTAAACATGAAAATCTGCGAAATTTTCTTAAACGCAGACAAAAGTTCGTAATACGGAAAATTAAATAGATTTTAAGAAATCCAAGCAGAGAATTGATTACAAGTATGTTAGAGTTACAGTGTATTTGTCGTTAGTTTTTTTCTATTATACTCCTCAAAACCTAACATTTAAAAAATCGTTCACATACACGTTACTATGTGTTGTTAAATTAATTAGAACTTATTTTTACTATATCATATAAAGTTTTATATTATATATATAGTATAGTATTATATTTATGCCGTTTTTACCCTTATCGGGTGATTTCAGTTAAAATCTAACTATCGATTTGTATGAGTACTTAGATTTTCTATAGGTACCTATAAATACCAAAGTTTCTAAATTGTCTGAATTGTTATTAATAGTAGGGATATATCGATAAAAGTATTCTGGTTTTTACCATTTATAATTACTTATTTAGAAATTGATGTAAAAAATTACCATGATATTACGACTGTAAGAAGGTGATAAGAACGATCCCATGACCATTCCAAACTTTTGTTGATAAAAATTATGATTACACTCAAAATAACATGACGTTAAAAAAGTACATAAGTAGGTAGTGTTAATAATTTGTGTGCGTTCCTAAATATTGAGGTCATTTTCTAATTTTCATTTGATTATATTTTAAAGCTTTGTCAACAGGTAGGTACTTAATTAGAGTTAGGTACCAAATTTCGTTTTTTTTTTTAATAAAATTCGCAAAGCATTACTCTCATTATATGAGTTTTAGAAAAAGAAGTACGCTTTCTAACCGAACCGCCTGTTCACATGTTCACTTCAGAACATCACTTCACATCGGTTTTCATTTTACATAAGACTATTAAAAACTTGAATCCGCCTCAACCATGTAGAACTAATCTACAACATCGGTATAAGCCATACATCTGTTCTATTTTCCGGTATTTAGGATCTAAATATGTAAAAAAGACTAATGACTTAAATCTCCATATAACAGCAATAATTAGATATAAATAAAATATTAGCAAAAGCAAATAAATCTTTAGTTGTAGACATAATTCAATTTCATAGGTTAAATTAAACGAAAATTTAAAACAAAATAAATTTTATAAGATTAGTTTTACCAAACAACATCTCTTTTTACGAGTTTAATCATATGACTTTAAATTACTAACACCTATGTAAGAAAATGTATAATTCGAAAACAAATTCAAAACAAAATTGCTTAAGGCGATAAAGAAATCTAAAACGTAAAAAATAACCATTTTCTGGACACATTAATTATAAGTTTATCTATTAAACCATAAGTAAACTGATGTCGAAAAAGTTGTTCTTTCTCTAGGTTTAAAAATTTCAATTAGGTACCTACATACACCAAAAACGATCTCAAGTTTGACTTCGTTTCTAGAATAAAAGAAAAACGTCAAAAATTACCAGAAAAACAAAAGACATCATTTCGCAAGACCAAAAATAAGCTTTGGAAAATATATGCTGATTCAAGCAAAAAGTATTAAAGCAACCGTTATCAGGGGTTGAATCTACCTACGATGATCAAAAAATTTACGAAATTTTAAATGAAGGAAGTTATTCAAAATTACATAAAAATCCAACAGAACGTTGGTAAATTATAACAACGTCAAGAAAGTTAAAGCTTAAATCACAGATTACGAAAGATCGATTCATCACCACAAAATAGTCACACCAAAGTTTTACGCGGTTCCAAAAATTTATAAAGTAAATATTCCTTTACGACCAATAGTAGTATAAATTAGTAGTAGGAAGTATAAATTCACCTAGAAACTCGTTAGCCAACCATGTTTTAAATATTTGATCTCCGCTAATAACTAACACATGTTGCCATATAAATATTCAGCATATTAAAGAAAAATGACATGGATGTACATCCACACCATGTTGCGGAAAGTATTGATTCCCTAAAATACTTGTTTTCTACCGTTTTTTTTTTAATAGAATTTTAATTTTGCGTGTTAACTTAAACCTTAAGCAACAGGAATGTAAATAAAGTTACGAAGAAAAACTTCATTTGTAAGTGGAATCAAATGCATTATTGGAAAACTTCTGTTTTAGTTTGTTGCGAATGTACTTAGTCAGTACTAATTTCTTGTGAGAATAATTATTTGAATTATTTTTCTCTATAGGCAGACCTCCAGAATAATTACTCCAATTTTCAATCACCTTGTATAAACCTTGCGTAATTCCAAAAACTTCGCGTTTTTGGATTTGTTCCTGTGAGTCCCCTGAAGAATGTTTTTGCTTCATCTTACAAATATTTAAATTTTGGAGCAGTACGAAGCCACTCAGAACACAAAATGCAGACAAATATGAGAAGCTGCTAAATTCATGTCTTCTAGCATCATTGCCGAATGAGAAAACAAACCAGCAAGAAACCACAGCAGTGAGGAAAGCGAAAATAAAATGTAAAACTGCCGGAACTAAGTGCGAAATACGGAGAAAAACACTTAAGAGACTCCATGCAGTTAATGAAAATTAACAATAAAATATTATAACGCAATTAGAAGGGATGTAAGAATACACACACCAAAGAAATGGCAAAGGCAATAGATCAAACAGGGGAGTGAAAGTAAGTAACTACTGAGGAAAACTCTGTCCGATGACAAGAAATAATTATGCAAGATTGAGAAAAACTCCGACCAAGACGAATCTTGAAAACTGATATTCAGAATTTTATATGAACCTATACAACTAAACAGCAGCAACATCCCGACAGCAAATTTCCATAAGTTTAGGGAGTGCTGCTTATTAGTTTATTTAGGATGCTTCAAGATTTCTACAATTCCTACACGTTGAGTGAGTTTGGGTACCAAAACGAGGCGAGGCTAACGATGATGCGGTTCTGATGAATACCTCTGAATAAGGGGGACTTTTTCTAATTGTAAATGTTTATCTTTATCTCCCATGTAGGATTAGAACGGAAAATCCAAATGAAATTGGTAGAAAGAATGACTGTACTTAAAAAGACCTTCATTAGCTCATTAAACGATATTCAAAATGTATTAAAAATCAACATAAGATAACGATGTGTTGTTAAACAAAGTTTTCCAAATTCTGCTGATTTCACTATTCTTCCATGTAGTTACCCGAAATTTAACTCCAAGCATATTATAAAACTACATTACATACTACATACAGCGTACATTAAAACTTACCTTTTCCATCAGATAGTTGCACAGCCAAAAATAAAAATATGCAGGTCAGCGACAAACTAACTGCATTAACTGATTGTCTCTTGTTCCACTCTTTACCCTTCATTTTGAACTGGTGCACAATTTTTCGTCACAGCCTGCTATTTCTCACAATCACTGATAACAACACGAATAACGTTATTACTCATGGCTCTTCACTGATATACGTTGAAAACTACACAAAGATCGATACGATAAAATCAGATGAAATTTTCTTTTATGTCCGATGGAGATTGAAGTTCTTGCTGCTTGAAGCATCAGTCTGACCGATTAGCATGTTGTGCTTCACTGGAGTTGACACTCAGATCTGGAAGTAAAGAAAAACTTTGATGAAACAAAATACTTCCTACAAACGATTAAGTTGTGAATGAATGCATTTGAGAAAAATCTGTAAAATTGACAGTGAGTGCTGGTATGAGAATAATCGACATCTCAGGTAACCTTCAGCCGAACAGTAAAAGCGCAATAATCTGAATATCGAGTGCTATCTAAAGCTCATAAGTGTAAAAAAAGATTAACTATTAACGGTATCGTTCGCTGTATTATCTCTGTTTATGATCCGCATTATATCTTTTGTCTAATAAAAAGTTGAAGATGTCTATGGATATTCACCAGCATTACTAAAAAATAAACAAGTTGCCTCTCAGACTATGAAATGTCTTACGGCTGGTCAAAGTATCGGATGAAAAGTTTTCAGGGATTATAACACGTGGACCATTGAATTTGCTTACTACAAAATTACAAAACAAACCTCGACAACCACTATACCCGGTATATCTAAAAACAATGTTTGTTGAAGCCACAACTGCAATTTAATGCAATTAAATGTTCTGAAAGAATTGTGTTTGTCAAAAAACATCTTTAGAGTAATAAATAAAGATTAACTAAAAAAAAACTTTATCGGCTTTCAACGATGTACGTTCCGCTAAGCACTTGAAAATTTTCCAAAGTTCGATTGCAGCTCACAATTGTTATTTTTTGGAACAGAAACCTGATGTGACGAATGTATAGGACAAGTTTTATTGGCACAAGCTAAATTTTAATAATAAAATACTTTATTATACGATTAAATTGAATTCGTAACACCATTCTATATCCGTTAGTTGAACTGTTTAAGATAATCTATAGTAATATTCCTTTCAAATCTTTAAGCTTTTAATTAAATTTGATGTTCCGTGCTTCAAAGTTTTAAAACTTACTTCGCTTTAAGTATGTAATTTTTTTTTTGACCATAGACTTGAATGTGATTTTTTTAAATCATACAGTAAACCGGTTGATAATGACAATATAAGTAATAATAATAACAACATTTCTTAGACCATTTTAGCTCACAGTTTCATTATCAATATTCATTCTAATACAAAATCCATAGAACTTTTAGTCACAAGAACTGCAGAATATATTCAATAGAAGATTATTTAGATAAATATCAGATGTATCAGGGTAAAAGTTAAAAAATGTAAAATTAAAACAATAACTATGAAGCCATTGTGTCCATGATTGAAAAACTTTCCAATAGAAATATCGATTCTGCAGAGTGTTTGAGCAAGTTTATGGTCTGGGTAAAATGAAGTAAGTTTGAAAAAATGAAGTTAAAACAACACAGTCGACGAGAAGGCAAATCTACTGAGAAAATAATCTTCTGTTTATTATATACGGTGATTCAGTGATAAGTATTTTAGCAAATGAGCACAAATGTTCAAGCCCGATTCTATTGGTCAGTAAAACATTGATTAAATGAAATTGAAAAGTTAAGAAAAAAATTGATAAAACCTACAAAGATAAAAAAGTTAAGACTATAGGATAAGGTAAGACTAAACTTCGGACTAAAGTTTCAGAAATATTTTATAATTTTGATGAAAATGTGAAAGTAACGGAAATATCCGCGTTCCAAATGACTCAAGTAAAAGTCCCGATCACACGTTTCAAGAAAATATTTATAACGTCATAAAATTATCAAGACAATGGAATAAACGTAATCTCAGAACTAATGTGATAAATCGGGTTGTAAATGCGCTAATTGCAGGTACATTGATACTGCTAATTGTTGAAACGTCCTAATGCTAATGCTAAACTAATGTCCATTACGAATTCAACGACGTTTTAAAGTATGTTTTTATCTATTGGCGTTACAATACCTACTGTTAAGCCATTTTTAATAAACAGATTTCCCTGTCATCAACTCAGCTTATGCATTTATTAATTATTTGCTACAAATTCTTATGCGATTACTGTTTTGGGAAACAAATTTAGAAGGGCTTTTTAGGAGTAATTCGATCGATCAGTTCTGCCTTTGTTGCTAATGCAAAGTACAACGCTGAGTTCTCTCTTCTAATTTTTCCAGTTTTAAGCATCTAGATAGCTGATTTTATACGGTTTTAAATACTTGCCGTAATTATCACTAAGCACGCCACTGTGATCAATCAATCTACGAAAACACGCAAATTATGACTGTGATGAAGACAATTTTAACTTTTAAAATAGCCAACAGTTGCTGAACGTTGTAGCAGTTTAGTGGTCACTGCACTCGCCGTTCAGCAAATCTAGGTCTAGATGTAATTTTAACGGTAATATATGAAAAAAACAATTGACATACAATTACTTTCAGAGCAAATAAAATGGCAGTCAAGCCAAGGGAACGTTTAGAAATACGTTTTTCTTATTTTTAAATAATGATGGTTGGAATTGAGTTTTTCCAAACTATAGGAAGTGTGGATGGTGTAGCTGTATGTTGATTCAATGTTACTGAATTTAGTGAAGAAAACTGAAAGATACTAAATTTAGTACAGTTTAACTAACTCACTTGTACACTAAATGGGTCGACTTGGGTCTGACAAACAGTTTTAGCTGTTTAGGTGTCGAGATTTTATTTCTGCTACTTAAGAGCTAGAAGAAATGATTATTTAGTTCGATACGAGGGAGAGTTTAGGCAATTAGTTGCCTTTGTCCGAGAGGTAAAAGAAAATATGTTACCCCTTGCCGCATTACCTTTGAAGACGGTTGTGGCACATGCTAGGGAAACGTCGCGTACAAATACCCTTCAATTACAATCAACAAGCCCACTTTCGAAAAAAGAGTTTAAGGTTTCTGTAACGATTTCTTGGTCTAAGCCCTTTAAAGTAAGTCATTTTCCTAACACAAACTTAAAATTAAATTGGGCATACTTAAATTAAGTTTAAATACAGTATGATTCAAATTAGAACTCATGTTACCCAAGACTAAAGATTCGAGCAGTTAGGTTTTTTAAAAATTGAAAATTTAATTACAAAAATGTTTGCATCTATTTCTTCCAGACCGATTGTAAATTTTAAAATAGTGAGTTTTAAAATAGAATGAGTATGCAACTGCTCATTCTCAAAGCTTTTGTGCCTTTACAAAATGCCCACTATCGAATTTCGAACCACATGATTTGTCTACCATATGCAGTAGATTGCCTTTTTACTTTTTTAGAAAAGTTTCAGTATTTTTATGTCAATATTTTCAGTTAAATGATAATTGGCGTCTTAAAAAAACATACTTTTATATATTTTTGTTCCAAATATCTTAATTTCCTTCCAGATATTAAAGGTATGTTTCAAAATTTACATGTGTAAGAAATGAATATTTATTTCGACAATAAATCAGGCCGAGTTCGAAATCATAACGCAAACAAAATCTGGGCAACCAAGTAATTTGATCGTAAACGTTTTGGTCATAATTTTACGACTTTGATATATTAGTAGACCTCAATATATTAGAAAATTGAACAGCTAAAACATGCTAAAAATATTTCAAAAGTGAAAAGTTGCGGATATTTTTCCTTTCCCTGAAATTAGCTGGAATCAGGGGTTGTTAGTGCAATTTTTTTAAAATTATGTCCGTAAGTGTTGGCAATAATTTCAAACAGTTGCGCAGTCTTATAGTATTGTTAATGAGTGAGTTTGTCTCGCAGAGTTAATTATTTACAAGATAATGGATTTCTAATTATACTTTTCTCTTGTTGGATTGGTTACTCAGTTTTCTACACTAGTTTCAGATATATTTGGACTACCAGATAGTTAAACCTTGTTTTCCATAATGTAATTTGATGGATACTAAAATGAGTATAAACTAACACCCTATACAAGTTTGTGTTAATACTACACCAACCTGTATATTTAATGGTGAGTTCCAAATTTGAACCATCCTTTATCTATTATGCGTAGTTTCAAATCGTCAATTCTCAAAATCGTGATGTTAAACCAGATAAACAAGTTAATAATGAGTGAAGTCAACTATCAATATTACTTATTTGGGCCATCAGTTTTCAATACTTTTCATTTATATCCTAAATTATCAGCAGATTAAGCAACCGTAATAAACAACACCAGTTATTTCGGATTAAGAATATTCGCAATAGTGATGCATTGGTACTTAAAATGCCCACCAACAATTGCAAACAGCAAACAATGACTGATTACTTTTAATTGTTATTGGCTCGATAAGACGCTACAACTTTCATTAGAAACCCCGAAAACCCTCAACTATTATTACTTAATTTTAAATCACATGCATTTAACGTAAAAATAGCATTGTTTTGAATGGGTCCATTACTCTTAAGCTGCAACTAAACTAATTAAAAACCCGTTTTAATTTTTTTAAATAATGGTATCGTTATGACGTTGTTTCTTGATTTATTTAAATTAGTCTACGTTGAACTGGTTATATTAAATAATAAATTGTATATTATCTAATTAAAAAATTCATTCTGCGTGCTTAATAAGAGTTTGCCATTGCATGCTAAATTCCCATTAATAATAATATGTGCCCACATGTTTTGGGCCAGGCGATAAATTAATAGTGTCAAATGAACGGCTAATGTAACGGACAATTTTCATCAAGCAATAAAAAATATAAAATAAAACCTAAATTTAACAACAGAAAATTTCAGACCTTTTTAAGACTTTAAAAATGATAACTCCAAAACATTTAAATTGTTTCTTATCACAACATCAACGACAAAAATTCACAATTGAATAAAAGAGTACTTTTATGAGGAATATATAATCGTTCAGGTGAAAAAATTAAACATCAGGTAAAGAAGCCATTCGTACGTACAAATACCAAATATAAAAAAAAATCTAACTGTAATTATATGGACACTTATGCCAACTATTCTTATAAAATAAGACGTAGTATAGTTTCTGCTATGATCGGCATAATTTAACTATAAAAGAAGCCACAGCAGAATCGAGAATTCAGTTATTAAATGTTTGGTCAGATAAGAAGATAAGTCTCAGATAGTCTACAGTCAATCTTAGTCAGTCTAAAGACAGTCTAAGATATACG